CATGCCGAGCTGCAAACAAATATTGTAATTTAGTGCCTCCTATATCTTTACCGAACCTGTAATCCTTGCGCGAGATATTAACATTTAACTCGGAGAATTCAATCTCAAGAATAATTATGTTACTTTATTGCAGAATTCTTATACATACTATAAATTATAAGGTCGCTACAACATTCTTATCGTCTTAAATATATCAATATATGTACAATAATATAATACAGTATATTATATTAACGAATTTCTAAACGAGACTTACAATTTACAACTTTCGATCTGGCACATAATTAGTTATTAAACAGTTGGTTTATTGCTTAATAATAGTTTTTGTTTCATATTTATTAACAGAATGCTTTTATGCCTTCATACGACGAGGAGAGTCGTTTCGAAAATTTATTGGCTTATCTTTAAATGAAAAACTAGTCGTTAATTTAAATTATAATTTTTATTAAGAATAAAAAATGAATGGTGACTATTGATGGAAAGTAGTTGGCCAGCCCGAGAACAGATGTATCCTAAGGTAACTTATAAGAATAACAGTACTTGTCAGTATGAAAATACAAAATCATAATATAATACATATGGGTAAATGACTTTCGGGTCAATTATGACTTTAAAGGAACGATGGCTTATAAAATATAAAATAGACGATATCTGGGTTCGTTAATTTTTTCAAATAAAATCTCCAAGTCTGCCAAGTTGTTATACCAAATAATAGACTCGGGCACTTTTAAGTGGTAAACTTCGTGCGCTCGGAACCGATAGGATTACCAAACCAATTTACACCGTTGATACTTACAGGGATCTCTTGGGTGCGTTGGGATCCTTCATGTGCTTGCGCTTTTTGCCCCGGCCTGTCACCTTCTCGCCCTTGGGCGGTATGTAGCTCTGCATCTCGGTATCGTATCTTTTCTTGTCCTTTTCGGCCATTTCGTGGAAACGTTTCTTTTCCTTGTCGCTCATAGTCTGTGAACATTAAGAGACGTACGTCGGACATGCAATAGATCGTTGTATCATTATAATATCAATAAAAATATGTGCGTGCGCTGAGAAGAGAGAGAGAGAGAGAGAGAGAGTATAAAATAAGGAAAATAAATGCAAGGAATTACTAAAATCGATGGATAGTGTATCATTTTATGATGCGAAACAAATATAAAATAATGGAAAATGAGGACCGGGATGCAAGAGGTATTGTTCGGGTAAAATCAAGGAATATGGACGATGAGAACGCTTACGAAAGAGAGAAAGAAAGAAAGAAAGAGAGAGAGAGAGAGAGAGAGAGAGAGAGAGACGGTGAATGAGAAAAAAGCGACGAAAAGGTGGGGCAAAGTTAGGGGTACGTGTGGCGCTCTTGTGTATTGATCGGGACGGAGAAGGGGGAATCGAGGGACGCGCGCAAGGACTCCCCCATTTTCACTAGGATATCAATTTTCACGCGCGGCTGGGCTGCGCGAGAGTCGCCGATCTCTTCCCTCCGGCGGGACCACCCACGCATCACGGATGAGGAAAGAAGGATGGGAGGGGTGAAGGCAAGGTGAGAGAATTGAGAAGCAAGGAGAAAAAGAAGCGCAGGATCAGAAGAAAAATGGCCGCGTCGAAGTGTAGCAACTCACCTGCCCTCAAGAGCGACGAGGGCGATACTTTGCAAAAGCGCGACTGAACCGGCCAGTGAGGAGTCCGATAACTTCGGCACGAGGATACGTCGTAGCCCTCGCGTCCCTCCTCGCAGCGGCGGACGGAATGCGTGCGCCGCTGAGGTGACTACGGTGGCGCCTACTATCCTCAAGATACGGCTGCTTCGCGGAGTACGTACAATTTCAGTGGAACGAATAGTTCGAAACGTCCTTAGGATCGCGAGAGCCAGAGCGAGACGAGAACATTGGGTATACACGCTGACAGCGATAGCTAAGGGGAGGCGTTTCGGTCGAAGGGCGAGCCGAAAACGAGACGACGCAGATGAGAGAGAGAGAGAGAGAGAGAGTGCGATCGACGCGCGCAGGGGTTGGTCGATAGAATGGCACTCTCGCACTCTCTCGCTGCTTTTTCTTCCTATTCGGCTGCGCCCCTCAAACCTAACCCAATTTTTTTCGTCTCTCACTCTTACCGTCTATTGCTAGACTCTAACCAATGCGCCTTTGGCTGTCTCCCCCACCGTCAAATAGCTACGATTCCCAGTTTGCAGTATGCTATTATTTCGGCCATGATCGGAGCCCGATGACTTTTGAAAATCGAAAATATCTATGCTCCAAAATATCCAAAAAAATATACGAATGAAATTAAAGAAACAACGATACATGCGAACGGGTACACAAGCATAAAATTATTGGCGCCTGAAGATCCGCAAGGCTGGTCGATCACGCGACGGCGCCGACATATTTGGCGTTTCACTACTTTCTGTCGCCCATAATAGGATGCAACTTTTGATCAAAATTTAATTCTACTCAAATGCTACTACTTTTAACTTTTCTCGAGGGAAACTACAATTGGTCAGTAGCAATCGCTTCTCGATAATTATTAGATACCATATAATTAAGTTTGTACCCTCTTCCCCCTCTTCCTGCCGCTAAGAAGTTTGTATTGGAGCATAAAAATCAATGTCGATTGAAATTTTTTTCTCTCTCGCGTAACCAAGGCAATTTAATATTCGTTATTAATGATTTATTCATATACGACACGTCACACGTTCGTCTATTTTGATAATCAAGCTCATCAGCGCTGTTTCTTTTATCGATCAATAAATTATGCATACGGTCTTATCATTGCTCTCCTGTATAATACAATAGACAAATGACCACGACCGTGAAAATTCTTTATGACTTTAGGAACTTTGTTTTTTTATCCCCCTTTTTTTCTAATAAAATCAAATGACCGCCCGCATGCAGAAAGAAATTAATTGCCTTCGTGTTCATTTTTCTGCCATTCATTCCCCACCAAATGACCATCCTTCGATTAACGACTTAAATTTCATTATCGCGCGCACGACCGCTCATTTCGCGGTTAAGAATCTTTACCGCTGATGCCGAAATACTCAAGCGCAAAATTACTTAGGGGATCGGCGGCAAAGCTGTGCCGCCTCATCGGCCTTGGTTGTTCGTGAAATGTCAGCGCCATTAGGCGGACGACACGCGAGTGAGGACAAAGAGCAATTAAAGCCGAAGCGGGAGGTTGCCAACAAGAAGACGTCCATTTCGTCAAGTCGTTGTTTTTCCGAAGCAGAAGTGTGCCTATTAAAATATCCCATTGAATTTCCTCGATGAACGTACCTGCGCGTCCTGCGGTGTGAATATATACATATCAGTGTTATTGCCGGAAGTCGCGCGGCGTGAATGGTTTGCCATGTGAGCGAAAAGCCGGTGTTTATTTCGTTATCGCTGCCGGCGTATGTAAGATTGATAGTGCACGCGTGCGCGCGCTCCTTCTCTAAAGAAAATTCCCAATATCGGATTTGATATTGGAGGCCAATACCGATTTCCCGCGCACCGAGTCCTTTAACCAATTTTGACATTGATCTGTGATTTTCCAAGTCCAAACTCATCCTCCCCCTTTCTACGGCCGGCCATCTAAACTTTCTGTTTACATGTTAGTGGTCGAAATCGTAAATAAAAACAGCAACCGTATAATACAGGTAAGCTAGGCCCTACAATAAAGTTTACAATAAGGATTTTGAAAATTTGAGTGCTACAAATGCGATCGTTTTCGGCTACGTCCTTAGTTCCAACAACCGATATTTATTCGCAACTTGTTAACTGTACACGAAAATTGGGCCCTCTGGCGCATTTCAAGTGACGTACCCTAAATAAGAGGTTCAAGGATATTTTTAAATTGTAAATGGTGGGTGCACGATATGGCGAAACCTGTCATAAACGCATTAAATTAATAGAATTTGTTAATCACCGACGCGGTACATTTTCGTGCAACGGCGACATTTTACAAGTGTGCTGTTTCTCCTCGGGTCGAAAAAGCTAACCAGTGATTTTAATAATTCCTGCACGTCATTCGCCTCATTCATCAATTCGTATAAATAATCAAACGATCTGAAATGAGAAGCGCGCTTGTACCGGTGGTGATAGGTATTTAACTATTAACCATTGAGGTATATCGTTGATAAGTATGTCATTGCACAAGCTGAAGATTTGAAAAACATTAAAATAATAAAAGTCCATGCTTACCTTCCACCTGAGAGCACACTTTTTGGAAAATTCTTGGAAGACGATGTTTTCATCAGGGTGCTTCTTCTTGTGTTCCTGACGACACGTCTGAACGAAGAAGGCATACGCTGTCATCCGACCTCTTGGTTTAGTCGACTTTGCTCCTCTCTTGTCCTGTTGTAAACCCACGTTATTTTGTTGAAGATTATTTTGATGATGTAACTGCTGTATTTGATGCTGAAATCGAGAAGAGAAAAAGCTCACTGTTAGAGGGGAGGTTCGTAATGCCAAAGCTCTTTTCCCTTGGGGTTTCACTTAGACTTCCTAGTATTTTTGCATTTCTGTCTCTCGATTCAAACACCTTCTCAATATTGTTCCGAGGTTCTCTGTTGTAACTATTCCTCGTGTCATATCTCGCAATATCTAAAGATAATGGAAAGCATCTTTCTTCTCTCTTATATATTTATTGTTTTTCTTTAAAATCGATTAACTTTCTGAGTAAGGTAGGTAAATAAAACAAATAAAAAAACTCTATACTCCGCCTCATTCCATTGTATTACATAATTTATTGAAATGATAATTTATGTTCCTTGGAGTGGAGGAACGGTCGGGTTATCGCGATAAAATTAATTGCAGCCGAGTACATCTTCCTTCAAACATAGTAATTTCAGGTAGCATGTATTTTTGTATATGTAAACGGTAAGTTTATAAGAAGAATGATTGATTTTCGATTGAAGTTTATAACTTTGTAAGATTATCTAGTGTTTATAGATTATAAACCAAGTCAAATTTCTACTATAAATTCAACACCCAAGTTTTGTTCTGGCTCTTACATAATAGAACTTTCGTCTAAATGTTCGAGTGGTAACTAGTATGGATAAAATGATTGAAATAAATGATCTAAAATCAAGAATTGATTGCATATGTAAATAAAATCGGGTCATAAATAAACAAAGAAAATCAAAAGAAAATATTAGAAAATTTAGCAATAAATTAGCGTTAAATTCGTTATTATTAAAATGCTTAAGGAATGACTATTGCAATTGGTTTTTCCGATTCAACATATTGGATTATTTTTTAATGCCGCACAAAAAAAAAAAAAAAAATGAAAAAAAGTACCCGAGTCGAGATAGGACGAACGGGCGAATAGGAGAGGTAAGAAACAAAATAATCAAAGTAATTATCCGCTATAGAAGCGAAAAAAACGATAAGATGATCACAAAATCCTATAATTTTGGTAATCTTCGGGTCATTTTTCTCCAAAAACAAAAAAAAAAACATTATAGTAATAAAAAAGTAATACATAGAAAAATAATAATAAAAAAAAATACAAGGATGAAAGATACGGCGATTATGAGAGAAGCGAAATAGGCGGACACGCTGACCAGCGGAGAAAAGGTATCCTCCAAGTAACCTTCGGAAACGGCCAATTACATTAATCTGTAGAGAGCGTAAGTCACTGACACTGGAGAAGTCGCGGCCGATGATGAAGGTATCGAGTATGAATTGAAAGGTGAAGAGATATAGGGAGTACTACTACACATCTGCGACAAGCGGATTTATTTGGAACCATCTGTATTCATTCGGGCAATACCGAGGACTCGATCAGGCAGTTTTTCCAAGATAATCCGATCAAGGGTAGTGATGGGAAATAAGCGTTAGCTCAACGTCCACTTAAATTTACAAGTAATTCGTATAATAACGTAGGGACGCCATTACAATAAAAATATAAACAATACAATTCGAAATAATCACAAATCGTTTAGGAAATGCAACGGTACACAACCGTGTAAAAATTCTGGAACATATTCCTTTTCCTCGTCCTAATTATCAAAATTGACATTGAGAAGAGACACGGTGCCTCGATATACACGACGATGACCGAGAGAATAATTATTTGATTCGAAATCGACATCTCAAATTGATGAATTGTCCTGGTGGAAGAGAGCCGGTAAACGAAAATTAAACAGTGGCGATATAATCAATAGGCTTGTTAAGGGATTCGTCGAACGCTTGGAGGCGTCGACGGCTTGGAACCGAAAGTTGAAGAAGTAAGCATTACTTCTAATTCCTTCTTTGGCGAAAACTTAAATAAAAAATGAAAAGTTTAGCGCGGAGGCGCAGGCCATGACGTCCAAGTAAAAGAATAAGGGGTCGATGTTTTTGTTCCCGATGTCACGGTGTTTAGTTTTACCTTGTTGTCATTAGAAGGAGAGCGCTTATAAGTAATCGTGTTGAGGCAAGCATTGGTTAGGAGTTATCGAGGGGACTCGGGTAGCAGAAAACTGAGGTCAGGGCATTACTACTTCAGCTGCTGCTGCTGGCGTTCGATGGCGCGCCTGACATACAAAATGGACGAGGGGCAAGAGGGTGGGGGCCATTCGTCCGCGAGGGCCTAAAGCGACGAAAAACACGCGTGAAAGTTCGAAACGGATAAAAATTTGGTCGGCAGTAGCGGCGCTTTTTTCTTGTTCAATCGGCGCCGCGTCGAGTTTCTTGGACTCAGCGCGTTCGCATTCCTGAGCCAATTGCGATCTCTGCTGGATATGAAAATAACCTTGGATCCGGATTGGCGCGAAAAGTGGAATGGTTATATAGTGCTTGACTGTGTAACTGACAGAGTGTGCGTGCGTGCACGCGCGCGCTTTCTCTCGTTCCTATCCCGTGTTTCCCTCCGGGCGGCCGAAAAAGCACCGACCGGAGACGGAAGCGAGGGTCGTCGGCCCGCGTGGACGGGAGGAGTATCCGTCGCCCCCACGTGCCGTAGGCCTGGAATAAGACGATAGGCGAGGGAAGAGAGAGTGTGGAAGAGGGAGAGGAAAAGATTGGGTTTGTTTGTTTGTGTGTGTGTGTGTGTGTGTGTGTGTGTGCGCGCGCGCGCGTGTGCGAGGGGCGAGAGGTAGGGGGAGGAGGGTGAATGTGAATGCGCGCGCGCGTGAGTACACGAGTGCGGGGGGTTGGGAGATGTCGACAGTGGTAATTGGAAGGGGGAGGACCCAGGACTGACCGGCGATATGATGGGCGGCGTCGAGGTCTGCGTGGTAATAGAAGCTAGATGTTGACCCTGCTGCAGCTGTTGCTGATGCAGGTTGTTCTGCTGGTCCATAACCTGACTTGGGTACCACCACTGCACGCCTGGAGGTGCCGAGGGCGCGCTCACCGGCACCCCGGTCCTATAATCGTAACCCTTCATGCAAGCGACAGGGCTGCTACTAGAAACAGGACTGCTCTGGGCGCCCGTCGTCGCCGGGTTCTGGAAGCTCGAGGCCATTTTGTAGGAAAAGAGCTGCTGCGTCGCGGCTGCCGCGGCCGTGCTCCTTACGATATCTTGATGATGCTGGCTAAGCTGCTGCTGTTGATTTAAGAGGTGCTGATGCAGATTCTGTTGCTGTTGCTGCTGGGCCTGCTGCTGGGCCTGTTGCTGCGCGGCAGCGACCGCGGCCGCTTGCTGCTGGGCCTGCTGTTGTGCCGCGGCGGCGGCCTGCTCATTGAGGCCGGCCGGCCACCACGCGGCAGTACCGTCTTCGCGATTACCGGGACTAGCGGTTGCCCAGCCGCCGGCTACGCGATGGTGCTCCGACATTGCGGGAGCGTGTGCGCGACTGGTGCTCTTTTATGGGCTGGGGG